CTTGCTCTTTATGCCACAAAACCTGAATTTCATTAGTTTTGCTCTCTTGGCTACAACTCATGATCAAGTTGGTGGACTTGACACTTATGACCTCTCCGCTCCTGCAAACGTGCTCTCCTTGCCTCTTTCCAAAGATGTGCTGTTATGGTTTTAGTTTAAGGGAAGACACAATTTACGCTTGTGCAGTATTGTGGATTAGACAATGCTTAATCTTCTCTTGCAAGTAAGCAAGCAAGCTACTAATGAATATGTGTAACAAGAGGAACTATGCAAAATGCTAAGGATGGCTTTGTGTGGTTGGAAGAATGTCTGGCTTACGGTAGCAGGTTGCACTGAACTCTGCTATGGCTGCCGTTAGCTGTCTCTGCCCTAATGCCTCAAGTGAAAGTTTTGTACTGGACACATACTATAATTGATGCTTAAACTTCTAATTTTGGGTGCTCAGAATTAGAACTTAGTGATGAAATCAGAAGGGGAATCTAAGATGTCTGAAGTAGCACCACATCATAAGCAATTAATAGCAGGACTGATGCACGTGACTGAATTGCAATGAAGATATAAAAATGGGTACAATATAAATTCGAGGTAACATGGCTCAAACTGTAAGAATGATGCAGGGAAGAAGTATTTCCTGTATTTCTTTGAAATACAGTTGGGTGCCTGGAAGCAGCAAGTCATCTGATGCCCCTACATTTGCACACCAGCTTCTTCTAAGACTTGCCACTGTAGTAAGGGGTCCACCTGTGTACCCGGGGCTGATGTGAGTTGCTGGGTTGACAGGATCTCCTTCACGAAGGAGACTTCTAGAGCTTGTTCCAACTTGCAAAGAAAAAATACACGTGACAAACATACACCTTCTGAGTGCTTCAAGAGAACTTCTGAAATACTCGTATCAGAAAGAATTTAATTCCTTTTGTGGCACCAAATATTTAAAAAATGCTGTGGAAAAAAGAAGAAAGTAAACTGGAAAACTTTTCATAGTCTTTAAGAATAAAAATGTGGGATTGAGGAAGGGAGTAAAGTGATGGTGGTATGCAGCTGACATAAAGTGAGGCAAAGTACTTCTC